ACACACACACACACACACACACACACACACACACACACACACACACACACACACACACACACACACACAAACACACACATATATATAATTTTGCTATGTTTCTAAAATACACTGAAGAAAAAATACCTGAAAATTCGTAGGGGATGCAAAGTTTATTCACAGAAGTACGCTTTATTTTACAGATATAGACTTTATATGCCACAAATAAATTTTCTAGTATTTTTTCTTAGTGTAACATCCTATTGAATAAGTACGTAGTAAATTTTTCAATAATACATTTCACATACACCCTCACAGTTCCTAAAGTATAAAATAGCACACATGATAAATGACAGGAAAACAAGTTACTACACAATGTCGGCTACAAAATTCAATGGTAATTTTTACTATAAAATTCTCTTCATACGAAGAGTTTAAACAAATCGAGAGACTGAAAAACGAGAATATCGTTCAGAGTTTTATCACAGCAGCAGCACGTGTATCGGGATAGGAAGTTCGCGACTAAAATTTTACGTGTCTGTAGGGGGAAATATCTAAACGCGTAACCCCTTCAGGAATTGCATAAATTCTCTTGCATATTCGAGAGAGACCACACGACTTAATCGCGCGTACTTGTTAATCACGTTGAAGAATTACATCCGTATCCATCAAGAACTCACGCGCTGGGAATTACGTGAATCATGCTGAACAGTTTCAGCGCGGGGAGCTCGTTACTGTAGAAGAGTACGCGATTTACAAATCTCCATCTATTTGTAGACTGTGTTACAAGCCGGCATAATTACGTCCAAAACGGACCGCGATACTCCCGCACGAATGACGGTTTACTTTATGAGCGCGGGATAAAGCGACGGCTCGATACGCTTGATCTGCGTCGGTTCATTGGCTGCCCCGTCAGACAGGCGCAGGGGTGGCTTTTAGTTGGGCATGGCATGCGTGAAGATTAAATTACTTGATGGCCATCCCGGATTGATCCTCAATGTATCTCGTCCATGCACGAGCGCAGATTAAATAGAGCGCGCCCCCTGCGCAACTCACTTAAATAATAGCGATGTCTCGTTGCTACACTTTCGTTACACCTTTTGCCTTCAGTGATATCGTGCGGTAAAGGAAGGTACGATTGCTCCGTTTTTGCCGTGTCTTGTTGATTTTCACTGATCCTGTTGCATCGACAACACATCCCACCTCGCGTCGACCGCGTTTTTCCCGCTTTTCCTATTACCATTTATTCTGTTTTACTTCGTCGCAAGTTCATGTTAACATTTTAATGAGCGCGCCTATTTTAAGACAACTTTTGGCAGATTTCGAGTTTGTTTAGACAATATTTGAAAAAGCATCTTGTATAATATTGCAATAAATTTTTAAACTTATTTATATATGTCCCTTATAATATTATAAGATGCAGAACCATCCTATAATTTTTTCGTGTTTCTCGGATAAAATAGAAGACGGAATCTTCTCTAATTTTCAAAGATTAATAAGTTTGAGATGAACAATGTCGATTTGATATTTTTTTAGACACTTAAGATAGGAATATTAATACTCGAACATATACCTAATCCTGTACGTTCTTATTGTTTTGATCTTTAAAAATGCGAATATTCACACACTTTCAGTAAACGTATATAATCAATATATATACATGTCCTTTATGTTGAAAGTTTAAATATTCGTACTTAAAGACTAAAATAATAAGAATGTCCAGAATTAGGTACACGTCCGGGGATTGATATTGTTACCTTAATGAGGACTTTCTATTTTCCTCATAGCACCTAAACTTTCTACGAGAATTTAACAAAGAAAACGACGCGAATATTTTCATCATCCCAATATTATAATTACATGCGTAGAGACTCTTATTATGTCGGAAATATTTCTCTATAAAATAGTAACTGCTGGCAGAGTGGAGTCATGTTTCCGTATTACAGCGACCATTAAAGTGTCGAGAGGGTGAAAGTATCGGTCCTTTCGTTAGAGTTACAAATTCTGTGGTGTACCCTTGGTATCCTCCAACACGGCAGGATTTTTGAGATTTTCCGCTTTCTCGGCTTCAGCCAAGCTTCAGGTCCCCTTTGAAGTCCTCCCCTCCCTTTATTTTCTTATCTTACATCGTCTTATGAAGTTAATGCCGTTTCAAGGCAGGGCGGCGGGCGGAAATTCGGCGGGTCGGGGCGCGCGATGGGAAACGTGCCCGGCGAGCGCGGGCACAGGGGGTGTCGGCGGAGAACGTGCAAGGTGGATGAAGCACGGGCGTTATTTCGCATGAATTTTTACGAGATTAGCCGACATAAAACACGCGGCAGTCCCATAGGCACGTACATACGCTGCATCCGAGCGGGCTGCTGCCGGCGTTGCTGCTGCTAAGCATAAATCGCCTCGAGGCCGGCTGGCGCAACGTTAGAAATTAAAATAGATTAAAAACTGCCAGAGTGGCGTCAGCAAGGCGCACGTCTGAATATCGCGCTTTCTTTCTCTCTCTCTGTCTCTCTCTCTCTCTTTCTCTTTGCGCGCCGGAAAGCGGAAACGATCCACCCTCGTTTTACGGCCGAACGGAAGTCCGTGGACGTCTGCGAGAGTTGCAGCCCCGCGATTTCCGCTGGCACCGTGTGCACGATGTAGCGTGTGATTCTCAGTCTCGCGTTCGATCTCAGAGCGACTTGCCCGTCGTGTCGCGAACTAGTCGCCGTGTTCTTTGTAGACGTATCCGCGCTCCGGGATCGTCGCCGGGACGGTTCGTGAATTTTACGTCCCACCAGAGGATGAGCCAT